TAAATCCCTTTAGCAATTCCCATTGCTCTTACCATGTATCACCATCTAACACATGACACAGTTTTAATTACTTATATTGTTTACTGTCTGTCATCTACTACACAGTAAGCTCCATGAGGGCAGGTGTTTTCATCCTTGCACTTGGTACATAGTAGCCATTTGTTAAATACTGAAAAATAACTACATGAATGCTCTTGGAATGAAATACATAATTTCGTTCTTTCATTGCCTACAAAGCCCTGCAGAGTCCAGCCTCTGTGGCCTCATTTCACTCTCCTCCTCCATTCTCTCCCCCTGCTCCTTTCTGCTTCCAGGTTGTTACCAGAACGATTCCTCTACCTGGGATGCTGCTTGCTCCTCCGTGCTTAGTTAACTCCTGCACATCCTCGTGTCCTTTGATCAGGTGTGATCTCTTCAAGGAAGCCTTCTCTGACATCCCAAACTGAATCAGGCTCCTTTGCACATGTCCCCACTTCCTTCGAGGAAGGAAGCCCTTACTTCCTCAATTAAGTCTATCATCTCATGGGACTATGAACCGCCTAAGAGCAGAGAGTCTGTATAACTTTGTTCACAAACATCCCATAGTGCCTAACATGGCATCTGGCATGTTTCAGTGCCCCAGGAAACATCAGAGAACTGAATAGACGAAGGAGAGAGAAGGCAAACAGGCAGGCAAGCAGAAGGGCATCAGGGAGGAAGGGAAAGTTCCTGAACACCATCTTGTAGCTCCAAGCTAGACCATACCTCTAACTTCCCAAGTCTTGGCTTACATAAAGTAACTACCAAAACAAGAGACACCAAAATCACTTTCATTTACCTTAAGATGTCCCCAGAAGTCTTCAAAGGCCAGAAATCTATCTTTAAAGTCATATCTGTACCTTTTTTCCTGCAGCTGAATTAATTTTCTCTAAATCGATTCTTGATAAAACTTGAGAAGAGCCTCGTGAGTGCATTCCCACCAAACACTTCCATTCACACAGGCGAGCGTGACTTACCGTCAACGGGTGACGTGGAGGTCGAGACCTCATAAGCACATGTCCACTGTCTGACTCCAGAGCAGGACTCCCTTCACCACGACCACCCCCCACTCAACCAGCACGAACTTACAACAGCCTTTAACTTCTGAACACGCACCCACACAAAGAAGAAAGCCACGATTTGCAACTATAAATGCTTGTAACCTCATATTCTTGAAACAGGTGGGCAAGCTTTGAAAACTGACAAGTAGGGGACAGTGTCTGCTCACCTCTTCCTGTGGTAGGGGAGTGAGCTGTCTCCTAATATCCTCTTCCCTCTTCTTCTTTACACTCCCGTTTCAACTGAGCAGATATCGCCTGGAATAAAGAATATATTTCTGTTACTGATGATATAATGTATTCTTGAAATTGCTGAGAAAGTAACGTGGACGTTAAGTGTTCTTATCACAAAAATGATAACTACGTGAGGTAACGCATTGGCTAGATTTAACCACTCTACAACGTATACATACTTGAAAACGTCTTGTTGTGCGTGACAAATACATTCAATTTTATGTCAATGTATAAGATAAATACATTTTTTTAAAAAATGAAATTTAAATTTCAGAATGATTCCCCAATTACTCTTTCAGCTAGTTAAACTCTGATCAGTGGACTACACGCACAACTGTGCATGCCTTGCAGCAGGGTTCTTGGAGGTCAGAGTGGGGTCGTGCACCTCTCTACCACTCCCCTTCTTGCTGGCTGACGTGGTCACAGAGGCTGGAGTGTTAGCAGACATCTTGGAACATGAGGTAAAAGCCAAGAATCGAGAGCGCAGAGCAACAATGTGGAAGGAGCCTGAGTACCTGGAACCATGGAGTGAATCACAGTGTAAATAACATGGAGTAAGTTCTGGATTTCCTGCACCTGCACCACTGCCACCACCTCTATGGCCCAAAACACAGTTATTGCTTACCTGATGACAGTCACCTGGATGAAGCAGAGATTTCCAAACAGGAAATCCAAACTGCTTCCTTTCAGACCAACGGGTGACAGGTAGAAAGCAAGCCCCCTGTCATGGCATGGGAAGAATCCCTGTTGTCCCATGCCACTGCAATGCCAGGAAAAACTTGCTGAAGAGCAGGTGACGCTCACTGAGAAAGCACATCAGCATGTAGCATGGGGACTATCAGAAGGTCAGCAGCTGTGAGGATTTTATTTATGCATGCAAAAAATGGCCAGCCATGATTACACCTGATTCCTCAAGAAAACAGACATCACAGAATTTCTAGTTTATACAATTTACAATGTAGGCCACTTGCTTTTTTTCTCTTAATAGAACTGCAAACGTGAAAATGGAAAGATTTTAAAACTGAGTCATTGGGGAATATTTTCCAAGTGGCACAGTGAAGCCCAGCGCTACTGGGCATGGGAGAGCCATGAAGCTGAATTCAGGAACAGCTGAAGGGCAGACCTTCAGCACAGGAGAAAACACTTGTGCCTGGGAAGAAAATGAAAAAGAGATGAGAATGAATCAGGAATCAGGAAAAAATGACAAAATTCTGAACAATTACAAAAGCCTTCCCAAGCACATCACACATTATAAACTTGCCCTTCATTTAATTCTACCCTAATCAAAAGTTTTCTTTTTTAAAATTGTTTTTGTGGTCTCATTCTGCTAACTTTATTCTTTATGCACAGTTTGGATAAAGTACAAACTAAAGAAGGCTTCCACTCACCCCATCCTCACTCCACTTTGGGAGCTTTAGAAAGCAATAATAGTTGCTAGTTGATTCCCCAGATTGTAGCATTTCCACAGTAGAGCACAGCTGTGCATTTGATTTCTGGAAGAAAATAAGAGACCCTCTCAGAGGTGACCTTAGAAGAAAGATGAAGAATGAAAGGGGCTAGAGGAGTCTGTAGTTCCAGTTCACACCAGCCTAGGAGTGTCCCCTGCCTACAACATGAAGCAACCCATAAATCACACACAGCCATGATGCGCTTAAATTGGGAGTCAGTCGCCACGGAAAATGGGAACCAAATACATCAGATCTCTGCTGAAATAACTCCAAAAGTCACCTCTGATTAGCTCTTCCCCTAAACTAAGGTTACTGTGACCCTTATGCTAGCTTTTAAAAATCTGTTCAACATACTTCTTAGACCACTAAGGCTGAAATATCCTTTAAGTAACTGATGCAAACAACCTCACAAATATGCATACAAATGTTTGAATGTCACTAATATGGTATATAAATATGTATTCAGAGTAATATTTATATATCAGCCATAATAGTGAGCATACCATTAACAAAAAGAAAAAATAATTCCTGAAGAAACTTCACCTGTTCGTATCATAATACTGAGGCTGTTGGGCTGCAGAAATGTACAGCCCGTGTGGGGGAGAGACGACCGCTCAAAAAGACTCAGAGTCCAGAGACTTGATGCAAAAGCATGAGGTGGATTTATTTTCCCGGGGACGAACAGCACCACCTAGCTAGTGAAGCTGCCGCCCTGACCTTTTTTTCCTTAGGATTTTTATAGACAGAAACCACACGCAGGTGGCTAGGGGTCACAGGGTGGGGGGAAAGTTTCATGGGCTTTGACCTTGCACAAACATGTACCAGATTAGCTAATGTCGGGAACTTCTAATCTTGGTCAATTCCAAGGACTAACGGCTGGGGAGTTACAGAGTGGCGCCGGCGGGGAGGGAGTAGGGTTGAGCGAGCGGGTTTACAGAAGCAGAATGGCAGGTTTATTTTCTCCACATTCCCCCTTTTTCTTTTTGAGAGTTTTAATCTTAAAACTATAGGTTATCATCTATAGCAAGTGGCTGATACTGCTGTTGTAAAACCATTAACCGGACAGTGCTGACCTGTTCTTGGATGAATGTCACTAGTCGGCTTATTTTAGTGACCTTCTATAACTGCTACTGTTATCTCCAGCACCCTGTGAGCTAGAAGAAAGGCCAAGAATGCCAGAGCTATGAGTTAAGGTGCCAGGTGCTGTGTCTCTAGGACCCCAGTGTTCTGGGCAGCAACCACACTTTAACTCTCCCGTGTTCGGGACAGCTCCCAACATCTCTCCCTTCCCTTTATAATTAATTGGAGGGTCGCTGGTAAGCTTTTATTTGCAAGTTAGTGGAGTGTATGGCAACTTTAACAGCCAAAATATTCTTAACAATCAGTCACAGTAGCAGAGGTGTAACACACAAAATTAGCAGGAGAAGAACAAAAGCCCCAATAATCATAAAGAATAAGCTTTTAAAATTTCCAAAAGATGGAACATGTCCTAAGAGTTGATTGAGAAAATCTCGGGCTTCTGTAGCAATGCTAGTGTCAAGGGGAGGAGTCTCCAACATGCCTGTTATTTCTTGATGAAGTTGGAGCAAATCTAAAGATGCATTTGCGGAGTGCCAGATTCCTGCCAGGTGATTTTGGACCTTATCCCAATTATAGTTACTCTCATTATAAGGTTTGGGAGTTACACAAACCCACTGATAATTGTCATGGCAGCGGAGCTGGCTGCGTAGCCAATGCCCTTGTATTTCCTTTCCCAGAATCTGGACCACATCATACAAAGCGTCCAGTCTGTCTTCAATCTTTTTATCAATATGCTCTTGGGTTCCCAATGCCTGAGTGACATTTTTAGAGAGATTATTGACATGATGGGCAGTTTGTATCTCCTGTGTCAACGCCACTGCAGCCGCAGCAGCGGATGCTATTACAGTAACAAGAGCTACAATGCCAGTTATGAGTAGCCCAATAAATCTTTTAGGCCTTAGCAAAATAGAGTTTACCTCCTTCCACATTTGCAATCCTTTATCATCATACCATGGACCAGAGACATTAGCTGGGACCACCACAAAAGCAGGGCGGTATAATATAACCATTCTATGAGAATAGGCAAGGGATTCTATACAATTAGTTAGTTGACAATTAAGGCATGATATTTTAAAACCATGAGTGACAATGTGAATATTCACTTTGCCTATTATGAGTACAAAAGGTTCAGGGACACAGGCAGAAATAGTCCTTAGGCGTATTTTTGGTGTAGAGTCCACCACACTCTCTGCAGAGAATTGACCCGTTCCTGCAACAAGTTTCCAGATACTAGTCTGGTATACCTTTGAAGTAGTTGTCCATAGCCCCTCAACAAAACCCTTGTCTCCCAAATACCCATTGTCAGTTTTCGCTGGGGTCCAATCATATATGCTCTGAGTCGTCCCAAGAATAGGAATCTTAGTCGCAGTCGGTTCACGGCAACGTCTCCAGGGCACGTGCAGAGTAGAAACAACCGGCTCCTTTTCACAGGGAAGTATTTTGGGCGGCGGCGGCAAATCAGAGGGTGCAGAGCCAGAAAATCGCCTGTCTAAACTTAGCATGCTGGATGTGATCATTAGCGGGTGCTCCCAGAGCCCTGGGATCACTGACATAGACAGGAACTTGACGCTCCCCCCAGCCCACCGGGTGGAGTAGAGGGGGGTCTGGTATATAAGTCCAATAGGTAGCTGCCTGGGTAGGCGTCGATAGCAAGGTTACCATAAGTAAAAACAAGGTCAAAGAATTCAATGGCTGTCCTGTTTCTCCCTGTGAACAATTTCAAGGGTTTTTAACCTGGCGAGTAGGGAATGGGGAACATTAGCATCAGTGTCAGGTGGCATGGACCATGGATTAGACATGAGAGGAGGTGGTGGGGCCCCAAACAAAACTTTAAACGGTGTTATTCCTAGAGGGCCAGGCGTATTGCGAACGCGGAAGAGGGCGAAGGGGAGGAGGACTGTCCAGTCTGCCACGCCAGTCTCTAAGGATGATTTAGTCATGACCTCTTTTAGTGTTCTATTCATTCTTTCTACCTGACCTGAGCTTTTGGGCCTGTAGGCACAATGCAATTTTTAATCCACCCCTAGTATCTTGGCCATTCCCTGACTTACCTGTGCAATGAAGGCTGGGCCGTTATCAGATCCAATTACCTTAGGGATTCTGAACCTGGGGAAGATGTCTTCCAGGACTCGTTTGGCCACCTGTTGCTGTCTCCTTCTTTGTGGGGAAAGCCTCTACCCATCCTGAAAAGGTGTCTATAAAAACTAGAAGATATTTGTATCCATACCGGGTTGGTTTTACTTCTGTGAAATCTATCTCCCAATTGTCCCCAGGACGCTCTCCCCTTAGGCGCCGCCGGGGGCTAGCCTGGGATGGGTGAGAGTTTACTAGTTGACAAGCTTTGCATTGGTGAACTACTTCCTCAGTTAAGCGACTGAGTCCCCGGATGTGGTATTTTGTAGACTGGCAATTGGAGCGTAGATGCTTTGCTCCTAAATGAGTAAGATGATGCAATTGCTTTAAGTATGCCTGGGCGGCTTCATTGGGCAGGACAATTTTTCCCTCTCTAGTCTTCTAGACCCCCTGCTGATCTTTAGAGAACTTGGCAGGTTTTTTTGTTAGGCTCTCCTCCTCTTCTGAGGAGTAGTGGGGGAATGTCGGTGAGGCCACCGGGGGACTGGCGGCAAGAATCAGAGTTCCTGACCTTAGAGCCGCTTGTTTTGCTTCAAAGTCAGCTTTTTTATTCCCCTGGGCCACCTTGGAAGTTCCCTTCTGGTGCCCAGAGCAATGAATAATGGCCACCTCCTGGGGGACGTGAATAGCCTCAAGGAGATGTAAAATCTCCTGCTTGTTTTTTATTTCTTTTCCCGCGGAGGTGAGCAAGCCTCTCTGGCGGTATATGGCTCCATGGATGTGGGCTGTTGCAAAAGCATAACGGCTGTCTGTGTAAATGTTGACCCTTTTACCTTCATGGATGCAGCTGCTCCCATCGGTAAACCAGGTGCAGTGTGGGTTGGGTAGCGGCTCATCCCAGAGGCCCTTACGTGGCCCTGTCTCTTCTGCCAGAATGTCATGACAGGAATGAAGGACTTCTCTGTTTTCCGGATGCTCCTCCGGCAACAGTGTGGCCGGGTTGAGAGCCACCGGGGCTCCAAAAGAAACCCGTTCACTGTCCAGCAACAAGCTTTGATAGTGGGTCATCCCGGCGTTGGACATCCACCGGTCGGGGGGTTGCCGGATGATGCTTTCTAGCGCATGGGAGGCTATAACTGTTAGCTTTTGCCCCAGAGTAAGTTTGTCTGCATCTTTTACAAACAGGGCAGTGGCTGCTATGGCCCTTAAACAAGGTGGCCATCCCCTAGCCACTGGGTCTAATTTCTTGGACAGGTAAGCTACTGGTCTTTTTCAAGGCCCCAGGGTCTGAGTCAATACTCCCCGAGCAACCCCCTTCTTCTCATTCTCGGGGGGGAGCGGGGCCTCGGAATCTGAGTGACCGTGTTTTTGCGGGCCTCTGTGAGCCACCTCTGACCCCCTTTTTCTTGGGCTCGGGGAGGGGGGCCGAGTCCCGACTATCTCACTCACTGTCCTCTTGGAGGGCCAGTACTCTGTTCTGTACTTTATTCTGTAGCTTAGGACAGTCTTTTTTCCAATGTCCATCTTCCTTGCAAAAAGCACATTGAGTTGGTCTCAACGGCGGCCTGGCACTCGAGTTCCCCGGCTTTTTATTCTTATGCACTGGCGCTGGCCTATTATCACCTACAGCTGCGGCCAAGATACGTGTTAATCTTTTTTCCTGTCTCTTTTCCCTCTTATCTTTCCTTGCTTCTCTCTCTCTTTCCCTCCTCTGCTCCTTCTCCTCTTCTGTTTCCCTTTTATGATATACTTTCTCTGCTTCTTTAACTAACTCTAGTAGAGTAAAATCCTGCAACCCCTCCAACCTCTGAAGCTTCCCTTTTAATGTCTAGGGCCGACTGGCCTATGAAGGCCATGGCTACCGAGGCCCTTTGTCCTTCAGAGGTTGGATCGAAGGGGGTATACCGTCTGAATGCCTCCATCAGTCTTTCAAGGAAGACGGACGGGGGCTCAGTTGGTCCTTGAAGGACTTCTCTTACCTTAGCCAAATTGGTGGGGCGTCGTGCCGCCCCTCTGAGGCCTGCCACTAGAGTCTGGCGATAGACGGTCAGTCGCTCCCTACCTTCTGCCGTATTGAAGTCCCAGCCAGGCCGAGTCATAGGAAAAGCGGCATCCATCAAGGGGGGGAGCACAGACTGGCGAGGCGCCGACCGGGGTCCGGCGGCAGCGAGAGAACCGCCGCCGCTCGACTGCACCGTGACCCCGGGGACGGCGGGGGGAGACGGCGGAGACACGGCTAACCGCGCCGACCAGGCCCCGCACCAGGCTCAGGACGCGCTACGCAGCGGGCCACGGGGACCCCGGGGGCGGGCCGGGGAGCTGGGAGGAGGGCGCGCCCCCACCGCCGGAGGCCGCGGGGACGACGGGAGGGAGCTGAGTAGGGCGTCCATCAGGTCCGGGAACATTCTTCCGTGCTTCCAAGATGATTCGTTCCCGTTCCTCTGTGGTGAAAAGGGTCTGGAGCAACTGCTGACAGTCGTCCCAAGTGGGCTGGTGGGAAAACATTAGAGACTCGACCAGCCCAGTCAGACGCTGGGGGTCTTCAGAGAAAGGTGGGTGGTTGGTTTTCCAATTGTAGAGGTCTGCTGTGGAAAAGGGCCAATATTGGAGGGGCTGAAGGGGGACTGCGTCGTCACCCTCCCCGGAACTATGGTTGGGAATCGGCACAGGACGAAGGGGACAAGCCACAGTGGAATCTGGGGACGGAGGAAAACCCCTCCTGCTCCTGGTGCCTTGAGCTGGTCCCCCAGCCAAGGGGCGAGGTTGGGCGCGCCTGATCGTGAAGGGGCGACCTGTGGAAGAGGGGGTAAAGTGGGGAGAATCAAGGAGGAGGGAATCAGCCTGCGGTCAGTCAATGGCCGAGACTGCCGGGCTGGATCTGACGTCGTCTGGGCCACTAGGGCCAGAGGGGAAACCCGCAGTCTTGCCCCGAGGGGGTTTCTGGGCGAGATCTTGCCACACAACGATGTAGGGGCCCTGATTCGGGTGTCCTTAGGGGTGTGGCGCGAAGATTCTTTTCTTCACTGCAAAAATAACAGAGAGGTTAAAAGTTCCATCTGAGGGCCACCCCACACCGAAGGAGGGCCACTCAGAGGCACAAAACGTCTGCCAGGGGCCCTTCCGGATGATGACGGACAGGTCGTGGGCCCGGTCTCGTACTTTCTTCCAATGTGTCAGGGTGAGGGAGAGAGGAGTACTCTTCCCTTGGCCCATAATTCCTGGATGAGTAAAAAGGAGAACAAAGAAGGAAAGAGCGACAACACAAACCGCAGACAAACACCGAAGCCACTTGCTTCTTTTTTTACACAAACACAAACAAACGACGATACCTTACCCTAGGGTTATCTTTGCCCAATCCTGCAACAACTTGCAGGCAAACAAATGGAGTCGACCAAGGCCACCTGGTCACCCCTAATCCCTGGAGCGTCCTCCAGGGCGACAGTTTTTCTGGGCCACAAAAACCAAAACCTCTATTTGCCCAGAGGAGTTTTCTCCTCACGGAGTCAACACCCTGTCATTCCAAATTCAAACTTCAAAACTGACACATCACATACAACACAGAGACAAACATAAAGGATGACTCCGGAGTCTGCCTACCTCCAAGCCTGGTGCCACCGGTCCCACAAAGGGGGAAAAACATTCCTAGCCTGCTCTCTGCGGTGCTTACCTGAACTTAGGCAGTGGGTGTGGGTGACTATAATTGGTTGCCCCAATTTCCTCCCGTTTTTGAGTGGGCAGAGTAGAAAAAGTAGAATGCTCATTCTGGATCTGAAAACAATAAGCATGAAAGAAAGTAAAAGTATGGCAGTACCCAGCCTGGTGCCACCCCAAATCTGTTTGCAAGCTTTCACTACTGTCTGAAAAACCCTGGAGGTCCAAACTCAGTGGAATTCACTTCTCAGTCAACTGACAACCCCTTCAGAATCTTCCTTAATTCCTGGGGCCTCAACAACAAAGATACAAAGCCAAGGCCTTGCCCTGCCAGGGGCCTTGGCAGGGAGGCGATCAGCCCCACTTCTGGAGTTCTCTGGGTGGGGAGGCCTGCTGGAGCGGCGCAGAGTCAGCACACGCTGCCCCGCGGGCGTGCAGGGCGCCCAGCAGGCTCAGCTGCACTGCGCAGGCCTGCGCTGCCAGTCTTGTGGCAGGCCTAACAGGGAAAGAATTTTAATAACTTGCCAGAGACTGGGAGGCAGTGCAGTGTAGTGCAAAAGACACTGAACTGGGAGTTGGGATTTTTATTCTAGTCCTTGTTCTGTTCTTACCTGGCTGGGTGATAATTTCAGTTTCCAGGCTTCATTTTCCCTATGGGGGATAGGAGTGGTAATGGTGCTCTCCGGGTCCCTTCCAACTCTGACAATCTTGAATTACACAGGAATGCTATAAAATCCCTGTTATAGAATCCAACCCTCAAACAAGAAGAGTCAAAGAAGCTGAGGCACTTGAACCTTGGGCTCTGCCCTGGGGGCTCCGCTTTGTCCCAGCTGCCAGGGCCCCCTGCTATCCACAGCCGACCCTCAGGCCCCACCCACTGTCCTCCCCACCCTGACTTTGGGACCCAGGGAACAATGCCTGCAGTGGCCTCCTTTGTGAAAAGCAGGTATTGGAGCCAGGGATGCCAGGCTGCTGGGCACGCCCGTGTCCTCCCACCCCACTTCCGCCCTAGGGTCTTCCCCGTTTAGTGCGTCCTCCTCCAGCTCACAGCTGATCTCTGGCTCTGCATATCCCACAACATGTCCGCACACGGGGCGATTCGGTCAGCTCTCTCCCGCCCCTCCCTCTTTCGTATAAAACCACTAAAAACAGTTTCAAAATAAAATACAAACAGTGAAAAAGGGCTGATCTGGAGCCAGCTGTTCGCCACGGGACCACGAATCCACATGTCCCTCTCCCACCTGCCCAGAATTGGCCATCCCGCATTCAGAGGCACTGCCTGTCTCCTGCAGGAGAGAAAATGTCCTGGCGACTGTGACCTGGTGCCCCGTCCCCCGCAGACAAAGGTGGGTGTAAGGCTGGTGGCGGCCTCTCTCCCTTCCCTAGAGAAAAAAGAGAATAGGCTCACTGACCAGACTCACCAAAAGCAACTGCCAGGCACCACCAGCCCCTCGCCCTGGAATCTGCAGGCACCACCAGCCCCTCCCCCTGGAATCTGCGGGCACCACCAGCCCCTCCCCCTGGAATCTGCGTGTACCACCAGCCCCTCCCCCTGGAATCTGCGTGCACCACCAGCCCCTCCCCCTGGAATCCGCAGACATCATCAGCCTCTCCACATCAGCCCCTCCCCGTTGCTCAAGAACAAACAAAGACTACAGTGGGAAAAACTCAGCTCTTCCTGCCAAAAGTCCCTAGCACGGCCCAAACGGTATAAAAAGTCTCACTCCTTTCAAGCAGATGCGACTTCTCGGCCCCCCTCTCTTGGGACCCAGGAACGTCCTCCGGGAGCACTAAATAAAGCCGAGATGTTTGGCCCCACTCTTTCCCTCTGTTTCTTTTGCCGCTGAAAAACTTTACAGTGGGTAGAGGAACCAAGGCCAGGGCGTCAGTCCCTCGGGCTCCCACGGACCTGGCACTGGACCAAGAACCCCAACTCCGAGTTTGGGGCTTGGCGGAGGCCCTCAGGGCAGGAGGAGCACAGGAAACAGCACTCATCACCTTACTAGTTGCTGTGAGGATGGGACACGCGGGCGCAGCTAACCCAGCCCAGGCAGCACAGCCCTAGGTCCCCCGAGCCCCTGGGCCGCCTCCGGCTGAGGACCCCAGGCTGCTGTAGGGCTCCAAGAGGCTGAAACACGAGTAGGAGAGGGCAGCTGGGCCTGTGGCTTGCGAGGTGCAGGAAACTGGGCCCCGGACCCTACGGACGCCCCTGTGCGCCAGGCCTGGGGCTAACACACAGAGGCCGATTTGGCTTCGCAGAAAACGTGGAGCTCTGCGGAGGGAGCCCAGGCCTCCAGGCTCAGGAGAAAGGATACCTCTCCGGCGCACAGATGGGCTCAGGACTCACACTGCCACTCCCAACCTGCGCGGGGCACGACAGCTGCGGGGCTGCTGGGCACGCGCACGCCAGGCAGACGCTTCCCAGCCTGAGGGCCCCGCATGAGTGCAGAGCACAGCCGGCCCAGCCCCCGAGGCCTCGGCGCCGCCTCCCTGCAGGCCTCCAGAACGGTTTGGGGCTCCTCAGGCGGGACCTGGGTGGAGAAGGGGTACGCCTACAGATGTGCCACCGGCGTGCCGTGCACACCAGGCACGTTGGCGCGGTCCCAGTCCCGGGCACTTGCCACCAGTGCGTCTGCGAGTTCTGCGCTGCCGCCGGCTACGGGGCAGGGAAAGGCAAGTCCCTGTCTCCTAGCCGTCCTCTTCGTCCTCCTCTTCCTCAGCAGGCCACCCTAACAAAGCCCCTGGAGAAAGTGAGTTGTCACCTGGGCCCCTGGGCAGGCAAGCTGGAAGGCTGGCCCCTCTTCCTCCTCCTTATGGTGCCCAGTGCAAACAGAGACTCTTGCGGCAGCGTATACACCTAGCATCACAGGGGGAAAGAACCGAGTGGCACATGCAAAGTCGGAGAACAGTCTTTATTCCTCCACAGCAGGATCAGCACCCCGAGTGTCACAACTCTCTTCCTGTCTTCCCATGTTCTCCTCTTCTTGCCCCTTATGCTCCTGCTTTTATACCCTTGGTAGGGCTCAAAAAGCAGCAATCAACTACAAGGTTTAACATCCAATCAACAACAAGCTTCAACATCCAATCAACAACAAGCTTTAACATCCAATCAATAATAAGATTTAACAGCCAATCAAAAACAGGGGGATTAAAAAATTACCCAATCAGGATTATGCAAGCAGCGTGGCCGGAAACAGGCTTGCGCCCCGCCTCTCTCTGGCTAGGCCGGTCCAGCAGCGCGCCCTCCGACTGCCTCGCAGCGCTGGTCCGCGCTGATGTGGAGCGACTTGTGCTACAAGGGGCCACTTCCCAGCGACTACATTTTCCGCATCAAGACCACCGAGTCCGGATTAAATTGAATTGCGAGCCTTTATTAGCTGGCCCGCGACCGTTCCCGTGCTGCCAGACGCAATCAGGAGAACGGCCCGGCCACGGTGGCAGAACGCTTGCGTACTACTTTGGTTGGGGCTCCGACAGAGGCGCGAGTGAGGGCATTGTCTTCCACTTTCCTCATGTTCTTCCGGATGGCCGGAGCGCCGGCCTTGAGCCCGCGCCGAGAACCGTCTCAAGGCAAGCTGCTTGCCCGAGCGCCGGCGCGGGTACCTGGGAGCTGCGGGTGCGCGCAGCCTGCAGGGTGTGCGCCCAGGCGCGAGCGGATTGCTTTGCTTTCTTCTCACGATCCGAGTCTCTCGCCGCCGCGCGGTAGGGCGCAAGCAACCAGCACCTTTGGCCTCAACACCTATGGCCCCAGGCCCTGACGCTCCTCGCCAAATGCAAACGTGCTCATGCTCTGCCCCTTCCCAGGGCCAGTGGCGTGCGGCCGCGGGAAGACGCTAGGCGGCGGCGAGCAGGGCGTTGCGGGGTGCCCGCGGCCAGGGCGGCCCTGCAGGGCTGTGAGGCCCCGCCGCTCGGGGGTCTGAGTGTTTCCTGCCTGAAGATGCTGGTCCCCAGCCCTGGAGGAGGGCGGGGGCACACGCCCAGGACCCCAAGGCTCCCCATTCCTGCCGAAGATCCTGCGGGCCCTCGCGCGGCCTGCGTCCCGCTGCGCGGCCTGTGCTGGGTCTGCTGGCCCGGCTTCCGCACTGTCGGCCTCAGTCTGCC